TCGTCCTCTTGTCATAATTTTTCCTATTTCGCTGCTCGGCCAAGTTTCCTATTAAATATTCAAGCGAATCTGGAGGATGTCAGCTCGGGCCTTCCTCTTAATGACATTTCAATAATTAATGTGCTTCTCGGCTTTCTTTTTTGCCGCTCGCCTCGTTTCCTGGCTCGTGTGCGTGTCCTTTCGCCTGGACTTTTCGACTCCGACTATCTGACTAGATATCATCAATCAAAGTATATTTTTAAATGTTTCGCTTCTTTCGGCGAGCTGCTGCTGTCGCGGCTTATAAATGATGTTTTTGTTAAGCACTTCTTCCTTTTTTGATTACATTTTCGAGGGCGCTGCTTTTTGCTGATATTTTTCCAGAGGTTACATTTTGATAATTTCAAGCATCTAATCCAATTTCCTTCTGCGTACAATTTTCCTCCATTTGCACAACTGTCATAATAGCCGAGGTGGAATTCTGGTGGAGTTTTCCAATTGATTACACGACAACCACACGGACAGGCCTTTGGCTAATCCTTGGGCAAGGACCCTTGCTCTCATAATTCCGAAACAGGAGCATTTCTACTTTGCTGCACAAAAAGTCCGACCTAATGACATTAGTCTGCGTGCCATTAGTTCTTGGCTGATTCGATTCGATTTGATTTAATTTTAGTTCATCGCTTGCCTGTCGTAAACGATGGGGGGGGATATTGAAACAAATAACCACAGGACTCCCAAAGAGTACATTTTTGAACAACTATATTATGGCAAAGAATGCTGCAAAACTTACAAAAATATTTGAAAATGCAAGAATCTTAAAAATGCTGTCTAAAAATAAAACGAGTATGAACAAAATGGCTGTGATCCCCCGTCTTTCAAAACATCCCAACTTCAGACTAGGGTTGTTGATAATATATCAAAATATCAATATATCGATATTTTTTCTGAAAATTTTATATTTATATCGTGATATTGTTTTTGCCCAAATATCAATATTGCAATATTTTTATATTTTTTTGATATTTTCCCTTCGGTTACTCAGATTTTCAAAGCGATACCGGGTAAGAGTTATCGTGTTAAAATTATCATAAAATACCTGATCACTCCGGGTAGCTCTGTGCCTTCAGAGCGGTTGGCGTCCGCTATAAAATGTGTAGTCTGCGACGCACGAATGATGACGCACATGTTTGACGCACATACATACATGCATGCATGCATGCTTACATACATGCATACATACATACATACATACATACATACATACATACATACATACATACATACATACATACATACATACATACATACATACATACATACATACATACATACATACATACATACATACATACATACATACATACATACATACATACATACATACATACATACATACATACATACATACATACATACATACATACATACATACATACATACACACATGCATACATACATACATGCATGCATACACTACACATACACTACACTCACTGCTCGACCGGTAAGATAGATTACTTGCAATATTTTGTGACTCTAAATTTGAAGACATGCCTTACCGTCCACGCTAGAACCAGTTGGGAATTATAGGACTACAAGACAATATTTTTCCCAAACGTATATTACAAGCGGCAATAACTCTGTGTTCCGACAGTAAGTTAAACATTCTTCAGGCTTTATTTAAGACAATTTTTACTACTTCGTGCAAGTAACACATACACTACTACATACATACAAACTACATACATACATACATACATAAATACATACATACATACATACATACACGCATGCATACATACATACATATTTAAAATACAATATATAATTCTTGTTAAGAAATTGATTACCCTACACTAAAAGGGATATATATTTTTATGTTTATTCGTATACAAAGTGCTACTTAATTAATCTCGAGCTGTAAGTAATTAAATAATAATCTATTATTTTGTCATATTTGTTAAATAGTGAGGTCTTTACGGTGAGTAGTAAAAATTGTCTTAAATAAAGCCTAAAGAATTTTTAACTTACTGTTGGAACATAGTTATTGCCGCTTTTAATATTTGTTTAGGAAACATATTTTCTTGTAGCCCTATAATTCCCATCTAATTCTAGTGAAGACTGTAAGGCATGTCTTTTAATTTAGAGTAGGGATGTCGTGATATTAACAAAAAAAACGTATCGATGATATTTTCCCTTCGGTCACTCTGATTTCCAAAGCGATACCGGGTAAAAGTGATCGTGTTAAAATGACCATAAGATACCTGATCACTCCGGGTAGCTCAGTGCCTTCAGAGCGGTTGGCGTCCGCTATAAAATGTGTAGTCTGTGACGCACGAAGCTGAATGACTGACACACATATAACACAACGAGTCTTCCTAAAATCACTTAACCCGAAGTATTGGAAATAAGTAGCATTAATTTATATAAACACAATCTGTATTATTATCTGTATTAGATATTTGAATATCCAGTTAAATAAGAAACATGAAGTAAATAAGAAACTTTTATATTTTTATTTTGGGGAAAAAACAAATTTTATTTGAAAAAAACAATATATTTTTTTATGATATTTTAAATATTATCATTTTTTTTTTTTTTTTTTGATAAAAAAAATATCATCGGTACGATATTTTTTTAATATCACGACATCCCTACTTCAGAGCCCTTAATTTTCGTTGTTGCTTGGACCCTTTTTTCGGGTCTTTTTTAATTTCTGCACGACCATCCGCAGAATCGGTCTGATTGCGTTCCTACCTTTTGCCTATTCTACTCAAACGAAAAGTATAGAACCAAAACTGGCCAAAATGTCAGACGATTATGTAGAAGGTAGCTGGGCGATCGAACCAACCGATAAAGATCAGACAAGGCTAAGCCCCGAAACATAAAAAAGGGATGTTCCTCTTGACCGAAAATAGTTCTTGGAAATTTATGGGTAGAGTTTTGTTTTGATTCGAGTTCACTTTACCCTCAGCGGGTTCCCCAGTGCTCTTTGCGCCTTTTTCGCATTATTAGAAACACTTTCCGAACTAATTAACAGCAAAGACAGAAGAACAAGTTTTGGCAGAATTTGCTGTTAGGGATTAAATGCGTTCTGTCAGTGATTTTTACAGCACTTCGCTTACAAATCGCTCGACATTTGGCGCAGCTTCAAACATAATCATAAACTTGTGTTAATTATTTTTCATATGCCAACCCCGCTCCCGTGGGCAAAAGTTTTATCTGTTTAACGTTAATTAGTTTTGTTTGGCAAAGTGAAATTTCTGATTTCTTTTGCGCGAGCTTTGCGAACTTTTATGAACTTTTTTCGGGCAATCAAAGTGAATTGAACTGCAGGATGTGCAAGGATATGGCAGCTGCATAAGTGCAAAAGTTTAATTAAAAGTCCTGGCCGCGTTCGCGGAACACAGTCATATCCTTGGAGCTGATGACGAGACCCTCAAGAATTGCACATCGAATTTTTCCCAGCAATTTGGCGCTTGCCAAAATTAACTTAAGAATGCAAATTGTTTTGTTAGCACCTAATTTTTTGAAATTATCGAGGGGAAAAGATGTCAAGACTGCCGGAGGGGCAACTCCCTGCCTGCCCTTGGTTCAAAGTTTCTGCATCGAAAAATCTTGGAAAATATTTTTGTATTTCCTTTTTGCATAATTGAATTTTCTTTGTGTGCTTTCTTGCTGCCGTTTGTTGCACAATGTTGTCGAAGTGGCTGCAAAGTTTTTCTCAGAGTGGAAAAGTTGGGCTAAAGGACTCATTTTCCTTTAACTTTGCAAAATCCTCGAAACTGAAATTTCATTTGTTCTATTAAACATAAAATATTAAATCACTAATGTAACTTTAAGCTTCTGTTAGAAGGAATTGATTTTGTATATTATACATCAAAAACTCGGAGTTGTGATAAGCCATGTCTACCATAGAATTCTAATTATCTAATTTATAATTTGTTAGTAAAAAGGTACAGAAAATAGAATAGTTTTCTATCACGTGAGGTACAACTATTTTTTAAAACTCTTCGACATCGAAGAGACATCAAAAACTAAAGAACATTGAAGCTTGGATACAACTTTTTGCTGGAAAAATAGTTGATAATAACATACCCAAAATTTATGCAACAAGTAGTTTAAAAATGATCTATAAGTATCCTTTCATAGAAATACAAAGTGGTTCATAAGGAAACTGCCGTATTTTATAAATTTATTCGTTCAACAATAAAACAATTAAAGAAATTTGTTTGATATAATAATATAATTTATTATAATTAGTATTGTAATTAGTTAATTATAATCTACATAAAGATGTAGATCTTGATAACGATCAAGATTTATTGTTTTTATAAAGAATATAATATTTTTTGTTTTGGGATTTTAAATCAGCAGAACTCCTGAAATCTAATGCCATAGTTTGTCGAAATCAAAGAAAACAAATAACGTTTTTATTTATCGATTATTATCCAAACCCAACTAGAAGAGAAATTTACCTAGTCATCGCTGATCTTATTGCTCTTTTAATTAAACGGCTTTTTCTAGGAAATTCCTTTTTACCGTCGGAAATTGAAAGGCCTTCTTCTAGAAAGTTCGTTTTTACCGTCGGAGAAGTGAAATAAAATATGTGCTCAGTTTTCGCGTCATCGGCTGCCGCTTACTTAGCTTATTGTAGATACTCTGAAAAATGGTTTGCCATCAGTTATTGAAAACTCAATTTTATATATAGTTTTCTTTTTTGTTTTATTGACTTTTTGTTCAGCAAAAAATTGATGCAATTTTTAGCCAACTTCGACTCATTTTCGTTTTTTCATGGGTTTTGTTCTTTAAAAAAACTTAGAAAAACTCTTACAAAAGAACTTACAAACTATTACAGTAGTAATTCATTTAAATAGGTTTTACGAATAAATTATTTCTAAAAAAGTTGTTTTTTGTCAATAAAAAATGTTTGTAAAAAATTGGGGAGTCTTCATAAAAAATGTTTTTTTTTTTCAAATTTTTCCTTCGATTTTTCGTGGAAACAAAACCATTATCACAATCGCTTTGATGAGTAAACTAAAATTGGGTGGGTGTTGTGGCTGTATCCTTGGCTGCTGTAGAAATCGAGTGCCGTCGGCTGATGAGTGGTGACTGTTTTTTGGGTTGGCTCATGCTCATTTGCTTTGTACTCTGGATCTTGGACTGGACTATTGGTTTTCCCCGTAGTTGTTAGTTACTCGAATGTTCACTGCGATGGCTTGCGGTATTTGCCGCACTTTCTTCCGGTCTTCGGATGACATGGACTGTACTGGCGCAGCGTTTGCAGGACAACGGTGGCCAGGAATCTCCACTGGGACTCCCGCAAGCGGAGGATCTGCTGCTCCTTCTGCTCCGCCTCCCGCAGCAGAGTCGCCTGGTCGGGTATGTAGAATGCCACTGCCATTGTGGGTTTATCTTTCTTCTCGTTCGGAATTACACAACTGGGAGTGACTCAATGACTTTCTCTTCGGCACAATGAATATTTATCAAGTTAGTTCTTTGTTGCTGGCGCACACACTTTGCTTTCGTATTTTCGAGTTCGTTCACTTTGCTCTGCTGCTGCTCTTATTCAAAGTTATTTTTGAGATGCGTTCGCTGCGATGGCTGCTTTTCAACTGAATGTATTGAGTACTGCTCCGATGCTATTTATACCTGCTTCTCTCCCGCCGCCTTGTTCTCTGTTTTTCTGGTGGTGGCTGCTCTTTTTGGCCTTCTACGCTCTTCGGCTCTCTGGCTGGGGTTTTTTTGTTTTGGTATTTCTGTTGACATCGCCTCATTCGCAGCTCCCAAAAAAAAGTACTACCTTTTGTCGTGGGCGGGGTGGGGCGTGGGCGGGGCCACCTTGCGCCTGTTGCCAAGCGCGTTTTTTATGAGATTGTGTTGTTGTTGCCAGGTTGTTGGCAGCGCCTTTGTTGTAACTGTGTGCGGCGAGAAGTACAGTTAGCATATTAATTGTATTAAATCGTCGGAGCATGACACTCGTTTTCACCAAGGAGTTCGACGGAGAAAGACATACGCGTGTTACTAAAGCTTGAAATACCCTCTATGATTAGCCATCCATATTGGAGCGCCTGATTAGTCAACTTCAACCAAACTAAGCAGGATGCCTGATAAGCGCCAGGTACAACTATCCAGCAGGTTTCATATTAATATCAGCAAAATCAACCGAGTTACTTAAGACTAGATCCATCGCTTTCGTGCATTATTATTTCTGAAATATAAAATATGTATGTCAGTCAGGCAATTAACTTTACAGCTATAATAAATACAGCTATCAGAAATAAAATAAAATTTAATTTTTGAATTGCTGATAATTTATATTACAATGCTGTAAGTGCAAACTATTTACTCAAACAGAACAGCTTCCTGTAAGGGTATCACAGAGTGTGATTCGTGTGGGAGGCAGGTTCACTTGAAATTGAAATATGGGCAAGTGGGCAAAGAAGAGTTCCCATTTCTTGAATTATTCTCTTTTCCATGGACAAGCCCACCTGCCATATCTAGATAGATCTCTCTTTATCAGCGACTCGCGCTCTACAAGTGTTTACACAATCATCCGAAGCTTCCGACTAAGAATTATGACAATCTCATAAATTAAATGTATACTTTATAAAAATATTGACAACAATGGGCTCGTCCCACCTTTTTTTATACTTCGTGTGCAATTTTTATTTTCATTAGAGCGGAACAAGACGTATATAATATGATACGATATGAATGTTTTCGGTGGAAATCATACACGAAAATTTCCTGCGGATTAAAGTATTATTAATTGCCTTTCTGATGGATATGATATCCGAACAATGTATTCATTCTACATATAGGAAGTTTATTGTAATTATCTTTAATAACTTATATTCTGCATTATTATATACTCGTAGGTTGTTTCATAGGACTCGGCTGACTGGTTGTTTATATCTTTAATCTGAATTGAAGCTCTCCCTTTCATGGCGTAAATACTTTTTCATTGCACTCTGACATATGAACATAGATACTATTGTTTATAATTTTCATTTGATTTTGAAATTAATTTCATAAATACCCGTACCTGTAAGTGAAAATGAGCTCTTGCAACACCACCTTCGTATTTCAAAGGCTTACCTCACCCAGAGTCCCGGAATGAGTTCCAGTTCCATTCAAACTCCACCCACAAAGCCGTAGTACCGTACCCACACAGGCAAACAGCCGAATCTTACGGCGTGCGTCTCAAGTGTTTCCACTGTGATAGAGAATAGCCACCACTTTGGGGGATGTTCTGCGTCATCGTCTATAGCGACTACCTCTCCAGCGCCGATGTCTAGGTCTATTGTTGAAGGAACTACTTTACTTTCCTCTGCCGGGCGTTCTCGTTGTCGTTCTCTTTCCCTCAATGCGCCGTCCCGGTCGCACAGCAGAAACATTCGGCTTTATAGTTCTTTTTTCATGAGTCTTTTCTTTCCGGGTTCGCGTCAACACATACGTATATAAATCCGGGACGGTTGGGCGTGGCTTACGTCCTAACAGCGTTTTATGCTCCAGCGGGCAAAAAGAGGAAGCCGAAAATGGGCATTTCCCTCTCTTTCGCACGTTTTGGGGAACCAATGTGGTGCAAGTTGGAAATTTATGTTTTGGGTCCGCTTTCGTTTTCTGGGGCGGAGTTTAGCCTGGGACCTTTTTTTACGTAGCTGAATCATTGCCAGCAAGGGTGGAGCCAGAAGGGCCTTAAGTTAACCGAAACATGGCCAACGTTATCCCTTAAATGTATGTCCTTCGCCGAAACCTGCGGTAATTTGCGCATCAGGCGTAATTGAGGCTCTCGAATGTCAATTAGTTCGATGATTAACCTCTCAAGACCTTTACGATACCTTTTGCGTTCAGTTTTTCTTTTCTTGAGATAGTGATCTAAATTTCTAATTGCCCAATGAGGCGATGTTTTCCAACTCCCAGATAGTTATCTGCGTTTTTGTATACTTGTGATTTCCTAAAGGATTCGGGTAATGCGGGTAATTATTGTAATTTTTATTCAAATCAAATATGCAACAAGTAAAGCCTAATTTCGACTTGTTTAATAACCCATATGTCATTTGCATAGCTGGCTGCCTGACTTCCAATTTAACTTGTGTCTTGCGGCCTTTTGAGTTTGTCAAATTGGATTATATTTCTTCGATTGAGTTTTCAATCTACATGTTAAATGACCCACATGATGCGGCACTCATTCCTGGGAAGTGTGTCAATCGAATATTCGTTCTACCCGGAAGTTTCCCGATCCTGTTTCTGATTGGGATTCCAGAAATTCACTTTACATTTCATGAGACAGCCCACGAGAGATTCCCAAATGAAAGCAAATTTTTAGCGATAATTTCGTCAGTGTTTTTTTGCCCATCTTCTGACGTGTCTCGATCTTTGTCTGGGACTGCCTCAAATCGTTATGTCTTACACATTCGTATACGTATACAAAACATTCGTTACATTCACGAGTGCTAATGAGTAATATCAACAGTATCTTGCGCAATCCGCTTGTTTTTTGTTTTTATTTGATTGTACCGTTTTAAATGCTATCTAGATTAATTCTTAAAAAAATTGAAGTAAATGAAGTAAAATCTCACAATACTTGTACGATCCAAAAACTGTGCCATGCACAATACTCATTAATAATTTTGGATTTGGCTACTTCTACCAAATCTACAGGTTGTTCCACATTGAATGGCTAACAATTAGTTCCAAACGCATATTATCTATAGATCGTTAGATAATTTATTGCAGTCATTTTCAGCTTTCTCCCGTTCCATTTCATTTTAAATTGTACTATTGGGTCATTTATTTACTATTCAGTAGGTAAATTGATAGCGTATACTTCGCAGTTATAAAAATTTAATCGTTTTAAACAATTGTATAGTATAATGATATTCCTTAAGCTATACCATAATTCCTTCATTATCCATTGTTAAAATATTAAAAACCAGTTGCAGGCTTGTAACCTGCTCCATGTTCTCTAATATATCCCTCACAATTCAATTTCCTCAGTCAGGTTGCTCCCCCGCCCCTTGCCTTGCGTAATAATATTCCAAGAATTGCGCAACGGTCTCCACCAGACCCCAAAATATTGTCATCCCTTTGTTGCTCCCGCACTGTTCTCAATCTCGAAAACTCTCAATTTCTCACACATTGGTGTTTGGGTATCTTTTTCGGCTGCGGCTGCGGCTTCTTTTCGTTAATTTGTGTTAATTTTTTATGATCCCAACTGGTGGTCTGGTTGGGTCCGCTTTTCGATCTTGTCAGAAATGTATACATATTTCGTTTTATTTGATTTCCCATTTAGAAAGCCCCGACGGCGAAAAGAAACAAAGACAATTGCCCAGTGATCCGTAGTGCTCGGGTCATTAACTCGCTCTCCTACCTTTTCCCCATCCCATCCCCATCCCATATCCCCTTCCCCTTCCCAAGCGCTATACCCTGTACTCACTCATTTTGTAACGCCTGTCATTGAGGGCTGCTTAGGCAGACGGTCCGAACCGATCTCCAGCCATCCGATCGTCCGGGTCGGAAGCTTAAAGCGCGAACCGCTGGGGAGCTACGATTCCCAGACCCAAGACCAAAGACCCCAGCTCCGATTCTCGGGATGAGTCATACCCATGAGATGGGAATTGGACGGGGGGGGGCACGCTCTCATTCCACCGCCCAAAACGAGACCCATTTAATGTTGTTTAACGACTGTTTGTAGCCGGTGAGTTCTCCGCTTTTGTTACTCATTAGTTGGTCGGGGGTATATCAGGTATATGTAATTCCAATGCTTTTGGCTTCTCTTTGATATAAAAACATTTGCCCATTTATAATGCAAGTACTTACATAGATGTAAATAATTTTAAAATAATAATTATAATTTAAATAATAATTATAAATTTATTTTTCATTTATCGGGTGGATTACCACTGATTGAAGATATATTAACGATGCTATTTATGTACTATTTGTTATCACTCTTTTAATTGCAACTAAGAGGTATCGGCTCGGCGATACCCCACTCGAATCGCACTTGCTTTTTCGCTGCTGATTTTCGAGTAGCTTGGTGAGGAGGGGGCTGATGATCGTCTCGTCGTCTGGGGGTGGGGTAGAACATGTGCATAACTGTGTTCGGGACTCGGACACTGGCTCTCTATCGCGTTTTCTCCTTCTCCCCACTCGTCGTACACCCGCAGCAAAAAGCGATACATGGAGTGGTGGGGAGCGAAAAGTGATATGCCGATAAGATTGCCTTGGACCTGCGATCGACTGGCAGACTGGAGACTGCAGACTGGAGACGGAGACCGACCGGCCTTTGTTTAATTTATTTGATTGTTCTTTTTGTTTGTCTACCGTAGACTTGTCCGTCCGCGCGACTTGTTCAAACATGTCAGTTGGTTCCTCCACTTTTGTTTGAGTAATTTTCGCCCTTCTTCCTTAGATTTTCGTAGATAACGAATTTTCGGAATGGTTTTCAGATTTCTTCGCTCCGCGTGCATCGACGTGATCGGAGTTCCTTTGTGTGTGTCCTATTTGCCTTATGTCATTATTTGTCTTTAGTCTTAGTTGCACTAATATTTTCCCCATGGGCAGTAGTCAAGTGTGCAGCAGTGGAGTGGGACTTTACATCGCCTATGGTCTATGAGTCATGCTGCGAGTTTTCATTCGGTTCGTGTG